ATTGATTACTTCATATATTCTGATAATATATTAATAATTGAAAGAGTTGATTGGTACCTTGTATTTATCTATTATACTTATTCAATTGGATTAATCTACAGATCAAGTTCCATAAGACCAATAAGATATGAGTAATAAGTCCCAGGTAATGAAAAAGTTGTTATTTGTTTAAACTGAGATCTTTTTCTCCTATCCTCCTAGTCAAATAAAGTTCAAAATCAAGATCTCCTTTTTATTCTGATCAGGTAATAAGACTGAATGGTCTTTAATCTATACTAAGCTTCAATCTTTTGATTGCAGTTAAGAATATATTTCCCTAAAAGTTGTTGAAGGATATTACAATTAACAAGGATCCCTATCACTTTCTAGACCCTCATACCATTACAAGGCAAAAGGATTATTGAGAAATTTGACCTTTTGGATAATAGAAGATATATATTAATAAAATTTCTTTAATTAGGCATGGCTACTGGAAGGTATTATATTGAAACAATATAACTAAAGATAGATTCTTAAAGGGGAGGCAAGAACAAAAGTCAAATATCCCTTACTAGAAAATTTTAAAATTTTTAAATTAATAACTATAAAAAAACTATTTACAATTGTTCTCTATTATTCAAATCATTGATTTATAGTATTTCCTGACTTTTGTCCCTATTAAAGTAAAAAGTTATAGATTTTTTTCTCAAAAAGGGACATAAGTAATCTATGAAATTTTATATACTAAATACTTTAGAGACTCATTATTAGCTATGGGTAACTATTGTGGCCCTTACTAGATTACTTGTTTGATCTTTTTTGGAGATGTGATTAACAAAGACATTCTTATGATCAGATAAGATTTGTTGAACCTTAGCTTGTTGTTCCTTGGTCAAGATTTCAGTAAATGATTCAGGAATAGATTTCCAAGATTCAGAATAGTCAGAGAGAAAAATGAGTGTTTTTATTCTCAGATTCAAGAATAAGATCAGATGTATAGGCCTCCTGTTCCTCAAGATCACTTTCAGATTCATATTCAATTTTATTCAAAAGTTCATCCTTATCATTCTTATAGTTATTATTACCTTGTAAAAGATATGAAAAAATATCAGCATGGTATATGATTCCTATGGCAATAGTTTTATTTTATAAGTAATTTGAAAAGTACGATCCTTAAAATTCCAATTTTTCTTTATGTAATTCAACCAATCAGTTTCTAGAAGAAGGGTCTCCTCATGTGACTCAATTATTTGTAAGGTCATTGGTACAACTAAATCCTGGATAAATATTTTCAAAGAAATTATTTGTTGAAGAGCCCTGGCTCAATGGTTTTGGATTTGATGTTAATTTCCAACTCAAGTTTGTCAATCATAATGCTGACAGCAGCACCAAAGTCAAGAATGACCATTATATGATTTCCTTTGATACAGACATAGCTCCTGGTGGCTGTGGTTTTTCTGGAATCATCAAAGATAAGATAATTGGTTTCTACAGATACCTTATATCGCTTAAGAATTTTCACCAAGTTTTTGTATTGATTGGGATATTGCAACATTTGTTTTAGAGTAGCTTTGACAGGAAGGTTCAGAATATCCTTAGAGATGTCATAATTGGACAGTTGATCCATAATAGATAGTTTGGCTTTAGTTTGGACCTTTTGAGTTTGACAGTAGGAGGGGTTTCAATTACTTCAAATTTAGAGTCATAGATTTCCCTTGATAGAAACCTGAAACTTTCCTAGTACATAAATTTAATTCCTTACTTTATTCAAATTGTTTTTGCTTTTGTTTACTCTCTCTTCTATTAGTGATATAGGATTGATTTCACTGACCAATGTAGACTTTCTCCTCACATTCAGATTTATTGAGCCCCTTCTCAGATTCCTCAATAATGAGATAGTTCAAGAGTTTTCTGGACCTGGGGAAGTTTGTTTGAACTTTTTCAGACATATAGTATATTTCCTGACCAGATATTCTGGTTCATTGCATCAAAACATACAAGTTGAGTAGAGTTATATTTATTAGTAGGGTTGGATGTGAATTGCCTTGATTGATGGTCTTGTTTTTCCACTTGAGCAAAAAGAAGTCCAAATTTTTCAGCCAAATTTAGTTAAAGTTTTCAAACTTTTTGATAAGAGCATTTATAGAATCTTCAGATTTCAAAGAAATCATTTTGAAATTTCTTGAGATAGGAGCAAGACTGCATTGTTTTTTATTATTGTTTATGTTCTAACCATTTTGATAAGCCATTACAAATTTGTATGTAGCAGTCACACTATTAGGATTGTTTATAGAAACAATTGGAGTCAAATGTGATAGAAATCCCCTGATATAGTAGTGAAGTTATTGGCTAGAACTTATATCACCTTCAATATTGACCCTTTTAAGAAGTTTTTTGAAAGTTGCATGGTAAGTAGTTATAGATTCGGTTGGTCTTTACCTATGTTTTTTGAGATTCATATCCATTTATTGATCCATTGTTGAGTACAAAATTGCTTTTTGAATTTTTCAGAAATGTCCTCTTATTTCATGACATCAGCATCAGTATTATTGTCCTCAAAATATGTTATCCACTATTTTCAGCTTTATTTTGGAAGTAGGCATTAAGTATATTGATTAGTTTTTGCTTTTTATTGATTAACCATCATGGCCTTTTAAAAGAAGTTAACCAAGCAATAGGATTCTGGGTTTCATCACTAGAGAAGGGTTCTACTCATAAGATATTGTAGTATAAAAGCAAAGAATATTGTTCAAAATAATTATAGATATTTTTTAATATTGCTATTATTGTATGGGTATATACTATATATTATTAAAAGAGATAGATGTAGAAGATAAAATAGAAAAAGAAGAAAAAGTAGAAATAGAAAAGTTAAAAAGTGATTCAAAATATAAAGATTCATTGAAAAATACAAGGTTTTTGAAATAATTGTAAGTTTTGGATAAGTTCAGGGTAAAGTGAGCTATTCAAGATATATAATTAACAGTTAAATTAAATGGTTTAAGAAGATCAACAATAAAGAAATTAAATTGTATGATAGCAAATAAAAGTTTTAAAAAATATTGTCAAAGAAATAAATATGTGTGTATTGGATAGTAAAAATTATTTTTTTGATAGTAATGAATTCAAAATCAAAGATAAAAACAGAAAGAATTTGATTAAAATAATATTGGGTTACAAAAGTATAAGAAATAGCAATGAATTCAACTTTGAACCAATTCTTAAAAGTTTTTGAAAGTAGAAGAAAGTTCCTGTGATAAATAACAAATTAAACAAGAGTTATTAATATAAGAAGGATAAATTTGATTGATGTTAATATTAGGATTTGTTTTGTAGAAAGTATTATATATATTATTAGTAATAAAGTAGTTTTTTAAACTATTTATATAACAAAATTAAAATTCTTTGCTAGACTTTGGATTCTCAAATCACTTTTCAAATGAATACCTTCAATACTGAACAAAGCTTCCTGATTGTTTCCAGAGAATAGTTTACAGAATAGTAAATCTTACAGTTATCACTAATTTGTTAATTTATTCAATAATCTCCAAATCAAATAGATAGATGGGACAACTATAACAGTAATTTTAATATTATAGTTGTTTTTTTTTTATAAATTTATTTAATTAAAAAAATATTTCCAAAAAAATTTTTTTTAATTATTTATAATATTATTGAGATATACAAATATAACTAATAGAAATTTGTTTGCATTTTGAGAATCTATGTTAATTAATTATTTAATAAAAATAATATTATTCAAAAATTTAGGTTAAAATGAGATAGAAAAATTTATCAAATAATTATAAAAATAAAAGTTTCAAGAGTATATAAATATTTAATATATAAAAAAAAAAGTTTTTTTATTACAACAAATATTTATGAATATTTTCATAAAAAATTTTGTTTATTTTTAATAATAAAAGTATTATTTGAGAAAATCAATTTTTGATTAAAAGATTTATAAATAAAAAGAAATATATCAAAATGATTTTTTAAGATATTTTTATATTATTTTAAGGATAGTAATAAGATTTTATTAATTGAAAAGTCAAAAAACTTTTGACAAATATTTTTTATAAATTTTTTAAAAAATTGATGTTTTATTTTAAGACATATTTTTAGATTTGAAAATATTTTTTTGTGTTTTTCAATTATTGTTTAAATAATGTATTGTTTTATTGTTGTTTTTGATCAATTTAAAAAAATTATTAAATATAAAAATTTCTTGAAAAAATAAACATTAATAAATAAATAAATATAGGCGAGACATTCCCAAAGCATTGTTGACGGATTAAAGAATTCAAGAAGAATGAACAACTAAATTCATTGTTATGACAATCTTTTGCTCCGCCAAGAGAACAATTGTACAGTACAAGGTAAGGCACAGAATATGCAATGTGGATCGTACACCAAAGGAAGTAACAATTACGGTTTTTGGGATGATCATGTGTAATTTCTTCGGAAATTTTATCATTCATTCAAGCATGGCATGACTGAAATTGATTCAAAATGGTCACAAGCTAGGACTAATTGATTCGAGAATTTTGAGAAGGGAGAGCATGAGATTCCAATGAAATTTATACCCGTTTTCCTTTAGCTTTTTACACAGTAGACTATTTTTTTTAACTTGCCGGAAGTTGAATTAGGACATGACGATATTATATTTAACGTAACTTTCAACGTGATGATGCCACCAGATTGTCAATATATTTATACTTCACAATACATACAGTAGTTTTACGCATTACGATATTTGTATATAATGAATTCGGTGTACACGTCTGTCAACAACCGACACAACTGAGATTATTTTATACACAATGATCAATATGACATCATGAGTCAGGGTAAAATTTACTGCGCACTGCGCACCTTACGTAAATAAATACCACGAGATTGGCCTTCAGGCACTCACATACACTTGATAAGAAAATAATATACGCCATTTTATAATAAATTCATTATTAAAAGTTTTCAAATCATTTCTTCTACTACTTCACTGAAGTTGAACGTAAATCATGGTATCGGGTTTTAATGTTCCCTTTCCTACGAGGTGTCCGTCCACCTTAAACGAAGCAACGTCAACACCATTCCAACCAGATCTTAGTATTAAATTGATCTGTCCAGAGTGCAAAAATCCAGATCCAAAAATCATCGAGGAATATGCAAGCGGGGATATGGTGTGCGGTGAATGTGGACTTGTTCTCGGCGGTCGAATAATTGATACGAGGTCCGAATGGCGTACTTTTAGCACTGAAGAAAACGATAAAGATCCTTCACGCATCGGTGCTGTTTCCGATCCCACTGATGCCTCGGCTTTGGACACTATGATTTCATGGAAAGGAAATACGGACAACAGCCCTCTCAGTCGTGCTCATTTCAAGGCAACAATCAATAAAGGAAATGTTGGTGTAAAGTATGCACTTCAGGAGATCGAGACCATTGGTCATGCAATGGATTTATCCCCAGAATTAATCGAGACATCCAAGCAACTATATAAACGTTCTGTCGAAGAAAAAGTGCTGAGAGGGAAAAACAAACTTGTTATCTATGCGGCGTGCATTTACATCGCATGTCGGACAATGAACGTTGGAAGGACACTGAAAGAAATAATTGCTGTCACTCGAGTTCCAAAGGGTCATCTTAGTCGTGCAGTCAGAATATTGGTATCAACGTTTGACTTGAATTTAAAACAGATGACATCCGAAGACTTGATGGCGAGATTCTGTAATCGACTCAACATTCCACATGACGTCACTGGAATATGCATAAAAGTTAGTCAACGCGTTGAACAGTTGGGTCTGCTAACAGGTAGAACCCAGAATACCGTCGCCGCAGCTGTCATCCTTTTCGTTACTAGCGTGTTGAAATGCGATGTGCTAACTGATAAGATCGCTCTCATCTCCGGAATGGCCACGCCTTCGATTAAAGGTGTGTGTCGAATAATTGAAGCGGAAAAGGACAAATTTCAAGATTTACTTGGAAAAAAGGTATCGGATGTTTCTTCTAACGTGGAAATTGATGAATGAGCAATTCTTGGTTTCTTAAAAAAGGATGACAAAAAAAAAAAAAGAACAATAATAATTATATATAAAACCAATAAATAAATAAATAGATAAATAAATAAGGGCTATCCGAAATATTCATATAGCGCAAATACAATATACAGTATAATATATCGAGATGCATGTAATTAATTCATGATTAAAATTCATTTTCAATTAAACATGGTAAATTTTCTCACCTCTGAAAAGGGGGTTTATTTGCGTTTTACATTTATGAATAAGACAAGTGATCGACCCTTGTGGAGTACAAATATACGCGCGTATCTTTACCAATAAGAAAAACAATTATCTTATGAATTATCATATGATTCGAGATTCCATTGTTGGTGATCGCCGACTTTTTTTTCTGTCCTCGATGGTTTCTAATCCCAAATCGGATGACGATCTCTAAAAACAATGAAATAATATGCATGATGATAAGGAAAATAAATAAATTCTTGAAACATTGCATTGTAATCTTTGATAAATTTCTGACTTCTAGGATTCTTTGCGAAATTACATTTAATACATTCGCACTCGACAATAAAATTTTATTTGAAGAAAACCGTCCTTTGATTTACCAAATATCATAAGTATTGTAGACTTCTTTCCCCACACTCAGTGTTACGCTGATTAAACTCAATATTCTTTCAAGATGTCTGTTTCAAAATTTTCGTCTTCCTCTAACCGAATCCTAGTATCACCGATGGCATCGATAAATCAAACTCTCAAAGTTTCCATCGGCCGCCGACGAATATTAGATTTATATGGAGAGTTCGAGGGTGGTTCTTCAATATTTTCAAGTACCATTCTCTTTTTTTCCAACCTTGCCAATTTTCTTTATGAGAAAATTTCAAATTGAAAAGCTGTCAACAAGATGTGAACATAAGCAAGACTCAATGGTTTCGTCTCCCTTGACCGTCTACAGATACAGCATATAGTCTTTATGGCGACGATGGTAAAAGTTTTTTCGACTCCCTTGGATTCTCGTAAGTTAATTTCTCGATATAACTCTGCCACTTTGTCTTTTCAGTTTTGAAGTTATTCATTTTGCGCAATCCCTCTTCTTCTCATAGCAACTTAATTACGTTCCCTTGGCATTGACTCTATAATTTATCTTCTTAAATCTCCTTAGGTTATTGTGTTTTTTGTTTAGTCTAGTTTGGTTTTTTGTTTGTTCGTTTTTGTTTTTTTTTTTTTTTTGAACCAAGTATACGACTGGGTATTAATTGCGAAAGTCATAACGTTCGATCAGATTAATTATTTAACAAAAGCTATGCTAAAATGGAGGACAAAAGTTAGATATAAAGTAATAAAATATCAGTTTCATATTAATACCGGTAAAGAGAAACCAGGGAACCAAAAATTTTAAAAGAAGGTTTTCAAGGTTTTATTTTTATTTTGTATTTATATTTTAACAGTATATTGTATTTAATTCCTACACAGTATAAAAAGCACAATTTATTATAATTATATAATTTATAAAAATTGGTTTAATTATATCAACAATATAAATTACTAATAATAATTTATTATTAATAAATATAAAAAACCAATATATATATATTTTTTTTTAAAAAAAAATTCTTTTCACTATTTTTCTAATTTTCCTACTAATTCTTTAATTGTATTATTATTATCTTTTTTTTTTTTTTTTTTTTTTTTGCATTAATAAAGTTTTGTACCTTTATAAAACAACTTGGAATTATTTTTTAAATTATTTAAAAAATTTTTTTAATTCTCTATTAAGCTAGTTGCATATGCTATATTAAAAAGTTGTAAACTATATATAGTATATACTGTATATTAAACTATGTGATACAAGACAAAATTTACAATCAAACCCACTCATCTTTATCAATTTATAGTTCTAAGCACGACTTTAGAAATAATTTGTCACTCATTTGCAATTTACATAAATACTTTTTCAACTATAAATATTATTGCCTATAGTTTATTATTATAATATTTATAATTTTTTATAAAAATATATAATAGCTTACTAAAATGATAAATCACTTATAATTTTTTTTTAAAAAACTAATTTTTACTTAAATTTATAATTTAAAAAAAATTTTTTTTAACAATAATTAAGTATAAATTTTAGAACACTTGAATTTTATAATACTTATAATTTTTTTGATTAATATAATTTATTACTTTGTAACTTTAAAAATATGTATCATACATATATTACAAATCAAAATTCTTATACAATAAAAAAATTTTTTTATCAGTTATAGTTAGTATAATTTGAAAATATTATCTTTTAAAAAATAATAACCAATTTTTAATTTTCAAATTTTAATTCTATTAAATACTTATTAAATAAAATAAAATATTATCTTAAAAAACTTCTAAAAAAATTATAAATAAAAAGAATCTAAAAATAAAATATTATCTTAAAAGACTTCTAAAAAAATTATAAAAAAAAAGAATCTAAAAATAAAATATAAATTATATAAAATAATATTAAATTAAAATTTTTAATAAATATATTAATTTTTTATCTAAATACAGTATATAAAAATATAATTAAAACAAAGAAGA